AGTGGCGTCGCCGGGGCTGGCTGGTGATGATCCGTGAGCGTGAGCGTCGAAAGAAAAAGAAAGAAGGTTGCAAGGTGGCGAGGAAGGAGGGAGACATCGTATTGGGCGGCGTGGCGACGTGGCTTGTTGCAGTAACGGATGGTGGAGTGTTCCGCACGGTGGTGGGCTTTCTGTAAAGCATTTTTGTTTTTGACCAAAAGAAATGCACATTGCAGAGTCCACGTTTAGGGAACGTATCACTCCTCGATACACTTAATTTCTACCCGATTTCCCGAATTAAACGTTGCAGGGTTACCTTTTTTAGCTGCACCAGGGCGATGGACCAAGAAGGTATCGGGCCGCTGCACTCCGCGTGCTTGGATGCCGATTTCATGACGCTCGAGGTGTTGTTGAAGAGGGGCGAGTACGACGTCGAAGCACGCACTAGAACGTGTGGTTACACGCCTCTTTTGCTTGCCATGCCATACGGCCTGCGTTCGAAAAAACTTCTTCTATCTTTCGGATGCAACGTTAATGCTAAGGACTTCAGGGGGAGGACTGCAATAATGCATGCAGCGTTCCATGGTTCCCTCGAGATGATGGAGCTTTTGATCGACGAGGTTGGTGATATCCACTCGACGGACAAAGACGGGGACACGCTTCTGGAACTCGTTATACGGTCAAAACACTTGGGCGCACTGCGTCTTCTGCTCGACCGCGGTGTCTGTGTCAACTCGTTTGACCACATGGGCTTTGTTCCGTTGCACGCTGCGTTAGTACACGGGGGAGTACCGGCAACAAAAATGCTAGTCAATGCGGGGGCCGATCCATTCCCTGGGACAGTTTATTCGGCACGAGGTCCACAGTGTCCCGTGAGTCCCTTAAGCAACGCAGCGAGCAACGGGAATGCCGACGTCGTCCGTTTTCTGGTCGAACGCGTCGGGCTGGTTAATTGTGGGGGGGACGAAGAGGGTCGGAGAGCACTCACAAGGGCGGCCGAGGTTGGTCATGTTGACGTGATATGGGCCCTATCGAGTCCCTTTGGTGGGGGTCACCGCGAGTGCATTCAATTCTTGATCTCCCGGTACGATAGGGGTAAGGACGACGCCGATTCAGAGGGACGTACCATCGTCGCGAGTGCGATAAAAGGGCTGATGTATATAGAGGTACAGTGGCTCCTAGAGAAGGGAATCGATGTTTCTTATTGTCCGGTGATTTTAGACGTCATTCAAACGTTAAATCAGGATGAGTTGGATGGCGAGGGGTATAAAAGGTTCAAGGCCGCGATCTACGCGCTGTACCGGGCGCCGGCGGTCCAGTCGGTCTCGTGGGGTTGGGTGGTCGTGAAATTCAAAACTTGCGCAAAAAAAATAGAATCAAGAGGACTCGGGCAACGGTTGCATGGAGCAGGCGGCGGCCAGGGAGGGTGGTTCTGCGAGGCCTCTTCAGGTGGGATATTGTTCGGTGTGTTGTTGATAAGGGCTTTCAATTTGTACATGTTTGCGTATTTCGTCATTGGCGATAAATTAAAAACCGCCCCTTTCGTGTACACGTCACCCACGCACGACAGGTTTGCCGAGAGAATGGACGAGGTAATGGATTTGTGAGCCGCTGCTGAAGAGACACGGGTGAACATGGCGGCGTTTCAGTAGCTGGCAAAGTTTTTGAAGGTGCAGTTGTGTGGTGTTTCGACCAAAATAGTCGTTTTTTGGCGTTGTCGGGCGATTTTAGCCCGATTCAATCTTGTTTATGCTTGGACCTCCCATAGATGTGTCCCTAAAGTGCACTTCAAGAAGGGGTATAAGCGACAATAAAGGGAAATCGGGTGGAAATGCCAGCTGAAAATCCAGCCAGGGACCCGGAGGGTCACAAAGGGGTATTAAAGGGAATTCTGGAAGGTGGATTTTCGGTTTGGGGAGGAACAAGAGATGTTGATTCCATGGATTTCGCTTCGACTACTCGCCCCAAGTCACAACAAAATATCAGAGTACTCGGGATTTCCCAAAATTTTAGGTGGCCCATTTTGCGACACTCGGGAGTTAAACATGGAATGACCGACAAAATATAGTCCCCGTAAAGGCACTGTATGCGCGCAACTGAGAGAGCTTCCGGCACAGTGCCGCGTCTAAGTAGCTATTCATGTGTCGCGCGCGCTGCCAGGCGGGGAACATGGGCCCCTCGCTCGGGCTCTGATCAGTTTCGCTTGTGAGGCAGGGGTCGCACTGTCTCTCGCTTGAGACGTATTCGGCGGGGGATGGGACGTGGGGCATTGAGACTATTTGTCTGATTTAATGGAAACAAAACATTTGCTACAACAGCGGGGTTGGTCGTCTGTGTATGGCGGGCTGGGCTGCGTGACTGATACCAGCAAACAAACTAAAATGTTGCCATTACAAGATGGATAACCTACTGGAGGTCTGCGAAGAGATGGGCCTTGAGGTAGACTACCTCAGCCTGAAAGAACGCGGGGCATTCGCCTTTCCAATGAAGGAAACCATCATGGCGTTCAACATGAGCGAAGATGACCCCAAAACGGTGACAATTGTGCGCGATAAAAACGATGTTGCCAACATGAAGATGTCTGCCACACTGTACAACCGGCGGCTGTATGGGGAGAGGGTGCTGGGCGCACCTGAGCAAGACTGTGAGAACGACATTGGGTATTTTTCTGCAACGGTGTGGTGCATGCATGGGATCATGTCAAATCGGCTTCGGAGTGGAGAACATTTTTTAAGTATTGTTCTACAACCGAAGAATGGTCGTGCACGACCTGTAATACACCGGATGTGCCAGCCACCCACGTTGTGTCATGCACTAAGTGTTTTCATTGTCTCTGCAGAAAATGCGCCGGAAAAATGGCAGTGGAAAAGTGCCCAAAGTGTAATAAGATGGGAACGCTTTGTTCTTTGGATAAGTAGATTTCCTTTTATTTTTTTGGAATAAATCGAATGTTGAAGTAACGCTTACAAAACAACAGAATGGCGAAAACCCCTACATAAGTGGGTATAACGGGGATACAACTCGGGGGGAGTTACCCCCTTGAAAAAATGTGTCCAATATCGGCAATATTCCTGAATAATATGCCCGTATTGGAATTTTTTTTTTCACTGGCATTTCTGAAACCCTTCATTTTTCCATGTGCCACCCAAGCGAGCATGCGGCGCGGCGTGCCGTTTTTGTTCAAGGAGACGACACGAAAGCTAAAGTTTTGTGGATCAAGTACTGGACAGCCCCATCGAGGTCGCTTTCGGCGTCAGAAAAAAGCACTTTTTGTGCGTAGTCCCATGTTCTTTTTCAACCTATTCGTTGCGTACGTGGTCGCCGAAGTTAGCACCGATCTTACCTCGTCGATTATAATAATGTCGTTGTAGACGATGAAGAGATTCGTACTCGATTATAAGCCTGTCTGAGTCTATGGTATCGGTGTATTGGTCAAAACCTTTGAACCTGAAATCTAGGCCGGAAGCCATTGATACCCTGCATGTCACTATCAGAACTCGCAGCTTCCGGGGTGGCACGCTTTTCCCGGGATCGTCAACTCTTGTTTGTGCGGTAAGAGTTTCACCGAGCGCCTCCACGAGTTGGTTGGCTCTGTATGTTTTCCCGGTGTTCATGCCGGCAATGATGTTGATGCACTTGTCCTTTATTGTTCGAATGTCGGGGACCCTGCCGTCTTCTGGGTCGATGGTATCCAATACTTTTGCAGTTTTCAAAACCCTGCCGAATATAGGCAGGATTTGGCTTCTCATGGAAGACATGCATGTGTACAACAAGGCCTTGGTCGGGACCTCTTTCACAAATGCGCCATTGCGTCCATGCACTTTTGTCACATACGTGACAACTTCGCCCAGAGCCATCCACTCTGTAGCTTGGTAGCTGTTGTGCACCATACAAACCATTGAAAACGACCTTGATGGTGTCGGTGGTTTGGGTTGCACGCAGATAGCATTGAATCTGGCTCTCGAGGTCACTCTGTGCTGTCGTAGGTGCCACTTTTCGCGTCTGTATCTTGTGTACGGCAATTTCTCGCTGGTGCTTGCTCTCTTTTATGATGTTGGGGACGACATCGTAGTCGCGGTAATCGTCCATTGGTATGTCCTTACATATTAAGAAATCCTCCAGATCACACCCTTCTGATCCGGCACAGGCAGGAAACCTCGACTCCCGACGCCCTTGGACCCCTTCGGGCCTCTCATCGGTCTGTATTTGGTGTACACGCCCATGTCCAGCACCGACATCTCCCTCTGTTCTCTTGGAGATGAAGAAATGTCGGTGTAATCCTCAAATATCTTTTCAGATATGGTGTTCACTTCGGCAGCAAGTCGGGCCATTGGACCGTTCGTAACGATGCCTCTGAATAGTCGTGATCCTCCAACGACGTGAAATGATATCTTGTAGAAGCCTTTAGTTTCCCGGTGGTCTTCTGACCACAGCAATAAGTGTTCATCCAGCTCTTCGCATCTACTAGTGACGTCCGATACGATTATCGCTTTCAAGCTATCGATGTAGTCGGCTTTCAGGGGGCAGTATACTTCGATGTCGGCGAAAAACGAGCACGGGAATTTGCCGTAGATGACTTCGTATGCTTCAAAAGGCTTACCGGATTTCTGCATTTTTTTATGGGTGTTGGTCCACCATGCCAGTTGTTCTTTTCGTGACGTAAAGCAAGCAAACATGCATTGCCCCCATTTGATCATGAAGACCTGTTTGTGTCGTTTTCCTGCGAGTAAGCTCATGTCTTGGTTAGATGTAAACTTCTTTCCATTTATGACTTTCGTCCAAATCTTCTTTTCGGGCATGCTATTGTTTGTCATATACCGACAACAAACAAAATAAAAGCTGGAAATGGTATGAATGTCAAACCAGTCCCGGCGCCTTCGATCCCAGCATTTCTCTCCTCCGCCGATGATAGCCCTCTCTTTTCTTGGCCCTCTCCGTGTCGTTATTTTTTGTCGGGCGCGGGTGAGCCAGGATCTTGCATCTGCTATGTAAAGCCATAACTTTCCGAAGGTTTGATTCGTTTTTCGCCATTTATTTTGCACGGGCCCACATTTCCTCAATCTCCTCCAGTAGTTTCGCGCGCTTCATTTCTTGCATCGCGATGTGCATGTGCTGCTTCGTCTCGTATACCGCTGGCATTGTGGTTTCCGTCGTTTACCGCCTGGCAACATTTTTTTGTGTTGGTCGGGTGGGGAATTTTTTTATTTTGATGTCATACTAAATTTTGTTTCGCGGGCGGGTGAAAAATTTTTGTTTCAGGTGGGGTTTGATGCAAATTGGCTCAAAGTCCGCTTGTCCGATCCACTTCGGTCACGACGACCATCCTACGGCAATATTTTATTTTCGAATATTTTGCGATCCCATATTTTTCTTGGAAATTTCAATGCAATGTTTACACGAAATATTTTCATTGAATTTTTTTTAATTTTTTTAATGCACTTACTGTTTCGAGAATAATGTACAGTTAACATTTTTTTACTGTAAACATTAAATACTTTTTTGTTTGCAGTAAATGTTTTCGGGATGCCCTCCCCCTCACCACCGATGCTCCCCCCGTTACCGATTGCCATTTCCTCACCACCGATACCCTCACCCCTCGGCGCGCCCAGTGCCCCGAACAGCTCCCCTCCGGTACCGAGTATGCCAGTCCCCTACGCAACGCTGGCACATTGGGCACAAGCGCTTGATGCAGTCCCAAATGAGTGATTTTACTCAACTGTGCACCCCCGCGTTCAAGCGCTCCTCTCAACGGTTGAATGCCTTTACTCCAAACGCGCCCAAAAAGCGTAAGATTTCTGAGTTCAGCGTGCCAGTGCCGTGCTCCCCACCTCCGTCAAATTAAAATATAATTTCAAACCAACACAACAATGCCCCTCCACATCCCCGTGGCCCAAGCCCGATCGGGCAAACTCGTGGTGCCCTCCTGTTCGAAGGCGGAGGGCTCTTTCAGATGCCTCGAGTATTCCCAAAACCTGGCTCTGAAACAGGGCAAGATAAAGGTTTTCCATTTCGCGCACCGCCACCTGTCGCCCGGCTGTTCGGGCGGCGGCGAGTCGGCCCTTCACAAGGCGGCGAAGTTGCTCGTTGAAAAATATTGTTCGCGCCTCGTTTTCATAGGCGTGTGCATCGCAGGAGAGCACAGCATCGCGCGACAGTACGTGAACTGCGAAGCGAAGCAGGAGTATCGCTACGACACGACTAACAACTACGCGGCGGACGTAGCCATCTTTCAAAACGGTGTCATAAGTGCTATCGTAGAGGTGTGCGCATCTCACGCGACCACCGGCGACTCGCTAGAATCTCGCACTGCGTGTGTTGGGGTGAACAACGTGTGGGAGATTTCGGCGGTAGAAATACTCAGCCGACAGGCGGAATTGTTCACAACCGCCAACGCAGTCGAGCTCCGATCCCTCCTCAACCACGCGCCCGATGGGTGTTATTGTAAAATATGCCCCGGCTGCAATGAATTCCACAACGATGAAAGCAGGGTGTGTGATACATGCGGGTGCGAGTAGAACAAGTGGGTGAAAGAGTTTGATGATCTTACAGGAGTTTGCGCCGTGTACATCGGAGCAGCGTGCAGTCATCTCGATAGTATCCCCACGTGGAAGAGGGGCGAAATTCCCGCGTTTGAAGCCATGGTGGATTCACGCTTCGACAACTATATACACGCGATGCTGAACAAATTTCACCTTCGGTTTGCCACCCGTGCGCTACAGTTCGCCCCGTGCAACCGTCGGGGAATGGAGTTTTCAGCAAAGCAGAGGCTCGACCAGACGAAACGAGCGCTCCGGGTTCTCACCCCCGTGTTCGCCCGTTTCTCTGTGTACGTAAAATGGAAATCGTGTTTCCATCAGATGGTCAACGATGAGAAGTTTGAGGAAGCCATCAAGCGCTTGGGCGCCAAGCCAAAATGGAAGGACATGAACTACTACACTGATGTGGTGAAAGAGTTATATGTTGATTCGCTTAGGGTGGCCATAAAATTGAAACGTGTGTCATACATTAAAGAATCACTAGCGAAGTCGCTTGTGCCTATTGAAGACCCCCTGTTGACAGAGCTTAAAGTAGGTGTTGTGCGGCTTATCCGAGCCGAGAGAACCCTGAGACGGTTGCTACAGAAGTGCCTCCCCTACATCCGCTGGAAGCTGCGAAAAAAGAGGGTGCACGACGTGCAACGAATGTACAGGAAGTACCAGCGATGGGTCACAACACCCGGTCCGGTCGTCACCACCGCACCCGAGGCCCCCGCTGAGCGCGTCGTAGCTGCTTATCGCAAAATTACTGACTTTTTGCGAGGCCTAAGCGTCAGAAGTGCGTAGCAGTGGCTGAACCACCGGTACCCTTCCCCGTCGGCGCGCCTTGCCCCCGAACAGCGCCCCTCCGGTACCGAGTAGGCCAGTCCCGTACGCAGCGCCGGCACGTTGACTTTAGAGATATATTAGTGCTGAGATTGAGATGGGGTTCACGGAACCGTGGCCGAGGGGCATGACCTAGATAATTTTCCCACTTGGTGCCGGGGGGTTGGGGGTACTCTTACCTACGCTCGGCCTCGCTTGGGCGCAGTTCGAGGAATTGCACTCATTTGGAACTGCACCAAGCGCTCGTGCGTGTCTTCCGTAACACGGGACGTATCTGCCCCGCAAATGTCTCCCAGCTCTATCGCGTGCGAACATACGTGGTACCATTGAAGTCTTCGAGCCACGTGTGGAAGCTCTCGCTGACGTAAAAAGGTCGAAGGACATGTGCGCGAGGCAAATCAAGAAGCCGACCGGGTTCGATTATCTAAAAGACCTGCTTGACAGTGCCATGGTTGCGGCCGGGCAGAAGGTTTTCGACGACGTGCGAGACCAGTTGGTCCTTACGCGAGGATGATCGGTCAGCGGCGACTCGACGCCGCGAGCACGAGCGCTTGGCACACTCTCATTTGAATGCGTTTACTCCAAACGTGCCCAAAAAGCGCCGCCCCGTGGCGAAGATTTCTGGTGTAGCTTGGCGTACCGGTGCCCCCGAAACGCCCCAACTCTTCGTTCCCTCCTGCTCCTTCAGTGTCGTATGCGCTGTTGGTCGGTATGCCGTTTGTTATATTTTTTATATATTTAGTGCAAGTGACCAAAGAAGTGCCAAGACAGTGATCACACAAGGCTTGGAGCCCTCTGCGAGCTCATCACGTTTCGATAACGTGACAGTGGTTGCGAGTGTCGCAATCGAATTTTTAAGTGGTTCTCAAGCAACTTGGTAAAGTACAGTATTCCCACACCCACTTTGGCTCATAAACGTCAGTCAGTACCTCAAGATCGATTCGCCGACCGAAACCATTACCGTCTTTGGCGCAGATGGGTCTCATCCAGGTTGTGAGCATGGGCTACATGGCAGCCGTCGCTCGGAGCCAAGAACTTCAGGAGTGCAGCGTCGTCACCAGCTTCCGGACCGTCAGCAGGACCGAAGACTCGGCTGATCTGGCAAACTCCGTTCTATGTTCGAACGGTGACTTCATTGTACAGTGGGATGAGGAAGTTTTCGTGACAGCAACAATCCGCGTCAGCGATGGCACATCGCTCAACATCACTGGGACTGGACCAGGCGCAATTGCGGATGGGGGTGGCAGTACGCAACTGTTCGTTGTAGAAGGGGGTTCAACCTTGCACCTATCGGACATGACTTTGAGCAATGGCAACGCTTTGTCTGGTGGGGCTATCTCGGCGGCTGACTCTAGCGTTTCGTTTAGCGGAAACACATCGTTCAACTCCAACTTCGCTAACTTTTATGGAGGTGCAATCTACGCGAATTCTTCGACCGTTTCCTGGGATGGCGACGGCACCCAGTTCAGCTCCAACTCCGCTAACGTTTCTGGAGGTGCGATCTACGCATTTTTTTCGACCGTGTCTTGGGATGGCGACGGCACCCAGTTCAGCTCCAACTCCGCTTACGATGATGGAGGTGCAATCTACGCGTATTCTTCGAACGTGTCCTGGGATGGCGACGGCACCCAGTTCAGCTCCAACTCCGCTAACAACTCTGATGGAGGTGCAATCGGCGCGGGGTATTCTTCGAACGTGTCCTGGGATGGCGACGGCACCCAGTTCAGCTCCAACTCCGCCTACTATGATGGAGGTGCGATCTACGCCGAATCTTCGACCGTGTCCTGGGATGGCGACGGCACCCGGTTCAGCTCCAACTCCGCTAACGACGATGGAGGTGCGATCTACGCGCGGTCTTCTTCGACAGTGTCCTGGGATGGCAACGGCACCCAGTTCAGCTCCAACTCCGCTAACGATGATGGAGGTGCGATCTACGCGTATTCTTCGAACGTGTCCTGGGATGGGGACGGCACCCAGTTCAGCTCCAACTCCGCCTACTATGATGGAGGTGCAATCTACGCGGATTCTTCGACCGTGTCCTGGGATGGCGACGGCACCCAGTTCAACTCCAACTCCGCTAACGATGATGGAGGTGCAATCGGCGCGGGGTACTCTTCGACCGTGTCTTGGGATGGCGACGGCACCCAGTTCAGCTCCAACTCCGCTAACGATGATGGAGGTGCGATCTACGCGTATACTGCGACTGTGTCCTGGGATGGCGACGGCACCCAGTTCAGCTCCAACTCCGCTAACGATGATGGAGGTGCAATCGGCGCGGGGTATTCTTCGACCGTGTCCTGGGATGGCGACGGCACCCAGTTCAGCTCCAACTCCGCTAACTTTTATGGAGGTGCAATCTACGCGGATTCGTCGACCGTGTCCTGGGATGGCGACGGCACCCAGTTCAGCTCCAACTCCGCTAACAACTCTGATGGAGGTGCAATCGGCGCGGGGTATTCTTCGAACGTGTCCTGGGATGGCGACGGCACCCAGTTCAGCTCCAACTCCGCTAACAACTCTGATGGAGGTGCAATCAGCGCTCTGTTTTCTTCGAAAGTGTCCTGGGATGGCGACGGCACCCAGTTCAGCTCCAACTCCGCTAACGTTTCTGGAGGTGCGATCGGCGCGGGGTATTCTTCGACCGTGTCCTGGGATGGCGACGTCACCCAGTTCAGCTCCAACTCCGCTTACGATGATGGAGGTGCGATCTACGCGTATTCTTCGAACGTGTCCTGGGATGGCGACGGCACCCAGTTCAGCTCCAACTCCGCTTACGATGATGGAGGTTCGATCTACGTGTATTCTTCGACCGTGTCCTGGGATGGCGACGGCACCCAGTTCAGCTCCAACTCCGCTAACGATGATGGAGGTGCGATCTACGCGTATTCTTCGACCGTGTCCTGGGATGGCATCGGCACCCAGTTCAGCTCCAACTCCGCTAACAACTCTGATGGAGGTGCATTGTACGTGATGAGTTTTTCCGAATTATCCCACGTCACCGACGCGGTATTCCTCAACAACCGTGCAGGAAACGGGGGGGCGGTGTATATTTACGTGGGAGAATTTCAAGACGAGCCTGCTACAATTTCGGGGTGCAATTTCTCGGACAATGTGGCGGAGGATGCCGGCGGTGCTGTAAATACCTTGGCCGGAAAGCAAAGTTTTTCTGCGTGTCATTTTAAGGGCAACTCGGCAGGTGAGGATGTTAAGTTCTTGAGAGGCGTGTCGTTTTAAGGGCAACTCGGCAGGTGAGGATGTTCAGTTCTTGAGAGGGAAACGCGTTAGATCTTATGATTGCACCATATATAACCGGTCGCCACCAATCCGCTTTGCCAGATTTCGGCGGAGCTTTGAGGCTCGGTGGTGAAGCGACTGTCAGCGACTGTGAATTCCTCGACAACACCGCTTACAGCCGTGGACTCGCTGTTGATGTGGTCGAGTCTGCGAATATCAGCAACTCAAGGTTCAACGGAAATCAATTGTCCTGCGGGAGTGGTTCGTTTCGAAGCGATACGGAGCAGGTGTGTTCGGCGGTGGTGCTTTGCTGGTTGGTGCGTTTCCTGCATCGTGACACATGCCTCTCGACCCTTTGACTACCCCGAGGCTTCGTCTGCCACGTACTTGCTTCACCACCAGATGGTCAAAAGTCACAGTCCACCTTTTCCGTCCTAAAAATGCAGGAAGACACCAATGCACGCTTTGAGACAGTGTGCGTCGAATGTCCTGCTTGGAACGAGTGCTCCAACTGCACCATCGCGGACGGTACCGTCACGCCGACATGCGAGGTCCCATTGGAGCACACTTCGGCCGACGAAAGTGGATTGACGTTGGAAACGCTCAAGATTGAAGAAGGCTACTGGCGTGCAACTTACGAAAGCGTCATCATCCTGGCGTGCTACAATGCGGATGCCTGCGCAGGGGGTAAGACGGGAGCGGACAACTTTTGTGCCTCAGGATACCAGGGACCATGTGAGCGAGAAGTGGAAGGTAGGGACGTACGAGCTTGCTTGTGATGATTTGTCGGAAGGTGTCAGAAACCTTGGTTGCGGTTTTGCACGTTTCTTACCCGTACCCTTGTTACCACCTGCGTTTGCCCATTTCTACCTCTGCAGATTGCGCAGTGTGCAAAACCGACTATTCTCCATCGCTTGCTCACACCTGCACGCATTGCTCGAGCTCAAGACGCCGAGGACTCACGGTCATCGCTGCCATCGCCGTGATTGTCACAGTCTTTGCGATTGTGGCAATTTTCCAGTACATGTTGTCGACGGAGCATGAAGACGGGATCTTGGGGTGCTTCCGTCGCATGGTACTTGGAGCGGTTCCCGTCGAGTCGTTGAAAATCATTGTCGTCGTGTGGCAAATTTTGACCCAGGTACGCCCCCGTTGTACATAATAGGTTGTTGTAGAGCGAGGAAGCTCGATAGAGCACTGAACGAAAGGACGGGTACACACACGTTTGGATAATAGCGAATCAAGTCGGGGGCTTGACGCCATGTCCTAACTCCACCTGAATGAAAATGCCTTTCTCCCGCGCAGTTTGCTGACGCGGCCAATGTCACCTATCCTGGCGTGTACCAAGACTTTCTGAGCGCGATCGACGTGATCAACTTTGACATCGGTTCCGTGCTCGCGGCCGGGTGCTTGTGGTCCGATATGGACTTCCACGACCGACTTCTCGTCACTACTATAGGACCGTTGGTCGTTGTTGGATTTTTGGCGATGACGTACGGGATCGTGTTGCGTAGGCACAGCGCATCCGGCGACACTGGTGGAGTAGAGAAGATCTACCACAAACATCAGACGGCCCTACTGTTGTTGACTTTCCTGGTGTATTCCTCAGTTTCATCAACGGTGTTTCAAACCTTCGCTTGCGAGATACTTGATGACGACGTCGAATACCTTCGGGCGGACTACCGTATTCACTGCACGGATGCCAAGCACCAGGCCTTTAAAGTGTACGCAGCGATCATGATTGTTGTATACCCGGTGGGAATCCCCCTGCTTTATGCCGCCCTGTTGTTTCAACGTCGCCACGTTCTGGCCGACGCTGGTGCGGACAAGACAGTAGCTCTGTCGATTTCCGGGCTGTGGGAGCCGTACAGGCCCGAGCGATTCTACTACGAAGTAGTCGAGTGCGGACGCCGTGTCATGCTGACGGGTGTAGTCGTCTTTATCTTTCCGAACGATGCGGCCCAGATTGCGATCACCATGCTACTTACTTTGTTTTTTTCTTCGTTGTTCGAAATATTGTCGCCGTACGAGTCTGAGTCCGACATGTGGCTTTCGCGGGGGGGTCATGTAATTGTGTTCCTCAGCATGTTTGATTTGTTGCTGCTGAAAGTGGATGTGTCTTGCGAGAGCGACCAGAGCCAGGCTGTATTTTCGGGAGTGTTGGTGGCAGGTCATGTGTTGATGATTCTTGTTATCATTGTCGAGGTGGTTGGCATGTGTTACGCTTCAGGGAAGAAGCGAGTTGTCGGAGCAGCGTCGTCACCTGAGAGTTCGCCAGGGTTGAGGCCACGCGCAGGATCGGATGATGTTCCTGCATTTGAGAGCGTTCCAGCATCATGGCCATCGTTTATGCGGCAAAGTTCAGTGTCAGAAGAGCCTGGACCGACTCGGAGAATCGCTGGGATAATGGTGGTAAACATCCACAGAGATACCTCTCCTCCAGCCTAGTGGCTACGGTTTTGACATGTTTCGGTGTGGTCGCAAGTTTGGTCTGGTGTAAATAACATTAAGAGGTAATTGTTGAAATTAATATTCACATCTTTGCTACAGCCTACACAGCCATATCGCTAGATAGGAAACACGTAACCCAAGTCTTTTCGTTGTTGTTTAACATATTGTCGCCAACCGAGTCTGAGTCCGACATGTGGCTTTCGCAAGGGATTTATGTACTTGTGTTCCTCAGCATGTTTGACTTGTTGCTGCTGAAAGTGGATGTGTCTGGTGAGAGCGACCAGAGCCAGGCTTTAGTTTCGGGAGTGTTGGTGGCAGGTCGTGTGTTGATGATTCCAGTTATCGTTGTCGAGAGGTGGTTGGCATCTGTTATGCTTCAGGGAAGCAAGTTGTCGGAGCAGCGTCGTCATCCGAGAGTTCGCCGGGGTTGAGGCCACGCGCAGGATCGGATGATGTTCCTGCATTTGAGAGCGTTCCCGCGTCTTGGCCGTCGTTCATGCGGCGAAGTTCAGTGTCAGAAAAGCCTGGACCGACTCCGACAGTCGCTGGGATAATGGTGGTAAACATCCACAGAGATACCTCTCCTCCAGCCTGTTGGCTGCGGTATTGGTATGTTTCGGTGTGATTGCAAGTGAGTAAGGGGCTTCGCTATTGGTCTGGTGTAAATAACATGAAGAGGTAATTGTTGAAATCAATATTCACATCTTTGCTACAGCCTACACAGCCATATCGCTAGATAGGAAACCGTTCGACCCTCTCTACGCTGTAGACGCGCTGCACGCGATCGAAAATCTATCGTATCCAAACAAAGAAAATCGGAGATAAAATATCCCGTCCATCAAACCACGATTCTGTCGCGTTAAGCATGCCCGTCTACTTCACCTACTCCTCCTTCCCTGACGATTTGAACTTTGGCCTCGAGGTACATGTAAAGCCTTGCGTGCACAAGTAGTCTGTGGAATAGTCAGCCTCACCCGACCGGTTTTCACACTCACCTCCGCATCTGTTCCGGGGCGTGGTCGCGCGTCGAAAGCGGAGCCGAATCTTGGTGGAAAAGCTTACATCGACAGCAATGCAATCCTACCCCGCGGTTTTTCTCCTACGACTGGTAGTATTACAGCTTGCATACCTGCATTTCCTGATATCTGCCTCACGCGAATATCGGGGAATCCGCTTCACAAGAGCACAAGGCCTCTGCATCATCCTGATCTGAAATCGTTCCTCGACGAATCTAAATTGGACGACGAGACGCTACGACAGGTTCAAGAATTCCCTCTTCGATGCCGAGACGCCCTCTGCGGAGAAATGATGACGTCTATCAAGAAACATATATCCGGAAATTTCGAGAGTAGAGTGGTGGATCACCTTTCGTGTCGCCTCGAGAGAAGACTGTGGGAGCACCGGGACGACTAACGCTTTTGGACCAATATTCCCCGTGCAGCAAAGAAGATTTACGAGGCAGCTAGGCAGAAGACTCCTGAACGAGCTTTGCCAATTATACGCAAGTTCGTAGACCAGAAAAGAGGAAGTGAAAAGGAGCTGCTTCGTCCTGAGTGGGGAGAAGCCCTGGAGGACCTCCTGTCGGAGTACAGAGGTCTCTTTGAACCTTTGCGTGTGAAGAGACCTCCACCCAAGAACCCGCCTGAACACCCGAAGACAGAAGAAGAGTTGACTGGGCGCGAAGATTTCCTGTACAACGTGAAAGCCAGGCTGAACGATGTCTTACAGATCGAGGTCAAGTGTCGTAAGGTTGATTTTCACCTTCAAAAGAGGAGAGGGGAGATGTGGTCCAAAATCAACGAGAGGCAGCAATCCATCAAGTCGTCCAAGACGAAAGAGGGGTTCTTACAGCAACGACATCTTCCGCAAGAAACACCTGTACCGCCATGGTTTGACGAGGGGGTCGAGATGAGCAAGAAGGACGCGTCGAATCTCGTGCGCGACGTTCGAAACACGAGGAAGGACATGTGGAAGATCATGAGGGAGCCGGGAACGGAGCATCCGCCGAAAGCCTTCTCACTGATGCCACACTTCTCTCTCACAAGGGCGTTCGTGAAGAACGACAGCCAAAGCATCGGCACCCTCGCCAAGTCTCTTGATTTCCCCGGTGTGTCGGAAAACCAGGTCACTTTGAACTTCCCGGTCCAGGCCGTGTGAGTCTAACCCAAAACGGTTTTCAAATGTTCAAAACGGTTTTCAAATATTTGAAAACGGTGTTCAATGTACACGCACCACTTTCAGCATAACTTAGCCACACAGCTCTCCCACCCCAGTCCCGACTTGCATTTACGACACATCCAACCACTCATCTCATCTACACCGCCCATTCTCACACAACGTATCGAAATCAAACAGTCGCAATAAACGTTTCAACACCCCACCCCCACCCCCACCCCCACCTAACACCACTCGCGACAGGAACCACCCCCATCAACCGACCCGACTTTTCGGGCCATCCCCCCCCCCCCACTGGCGTGCATCTCTCACCGCTATGCTCCTAAACCACCTCCCACCTCCTTCTCCCTCATGCTGCACGACAAAGTAGGCCCATGTATGTCGGGATACAGGAGGAGGAGCAGCAGCGGCAGCTCCCCATGGTGGCGGACAGGCAGTAGCAGCAGGAAAACAGCCAGCAGGGGCGGCGGGAAACCAACAGGCGGCGGGAAACAACAAGGCGCCCCCCGCAGCAGGAGGAGACCAGAATGCGGGCGGAGCCGCGCCAGCCGGGCTGGGAGGCCCACCTCCCCCCATCAACCCAGTCCAGCTACTGCTGCAGATGTCTGTACTCCTAAAAGAGCAAAGCGATCGACTCGGCAACCTGGAGCTCAGGATGCAGCAACAGCAGCAGCAGCACCCGCAGTACCAACAGCAGCAGCAGCAGCAGCAGCAGCAACAGCAGCAGCAGCAGTACCACCAGCAACAGCAGCATCAGCAGCAGCCACAGCAGCCTGGCCACCTCCCCCCTGCCGGCCTCCAGCAGCAAGGCCAGCCCCAGCCTATTAATTTCCCGCTAGGCGGCCAGCTCGTGCTACAGCCCCTGCAAGCACAGGCTCTGGGCCCAAATATTATCGTGTTAAACCAGGGCCTTAACACCCAGGTACAAAAGGAGAGGTTTCGCCGCGACACGAAGGCACGGGGAGACGAGCCCGCGGCGACGCAGTTTCTGCTGCGCGGTGGGTGGTTCGTTGGCACCACGCTGTCAAAGAACGCAATTGCCCAGCTGCTCCGCAAAGTGGCCTATCCCGACGCCGAAATGATCGATTCGTTGATGACCATCGCCAACGTCGATATCGCCAAGTTCTCCCCACCCCTCCCTACCGGGTGGACCCCGCAGCCACGCGACTTCATCGTTCATCTCGAGACGTTCGCGAAAGCGTTCTTCGCCGTGTTGGACCATGGTACACACGCCGCAGGCGAACCATCGACCGGCCGCAGGCAACAGTTGAAAGCCGAGATCAGCCGCATTGTGTCCAACGCCCGGGACTACCTCAGCCTTCATTCGGCGGAAGTCATGGGTCAAGAAGCAGCGGTGAAGACGCGCCTGATCACCGACACCAACACCGACATCAACGAGTATCTCGGGAACATCTCAGACCTTGGCGCCGCGATCCGCGCCGACCACGACATCTCCCCGCCGGCGGCTGACGACGTGCAACCCGTCCCCCCCCCTGCGTTTTCGCGGCTGCGCGGCCTCACCGCGGAAGGCAACGCCAACGCCATCATCGGAAAGCTGAACAACGGCCTGGCCGGGCTCCCGCAGCCACAGAAGAGGAAAGCGTCAGCGAGCAGCGCCACGAGCGGTCATACAGCATCCCGCCCGCGGATAACCGCAGCACCCGTCGCCAACCAACACGCGGTGGCGACGCTGTCCCCGTTCCAGCAGGACCTCCTCACGTGGGAAACCCCCCACCGCGCGTGTCACTCCCACTGGAAAGGACAAAAGTGCACCCGCCCGCATTGCGCCCTCAACCACGTACAGGTTCACCCCAGCGTCGCCCCCCCCGGTTCGCCGCCCAGTCCACCGCCCATAGCGCCAGTCCGCCGCCCATAGCGCCAGTCCGGGCCCCCGCACCCGCGACCGCCCTTGCCCCTGCCCCCGCACCCGCCCCTGCCCCCGCTGCACCACGCCCCGTAGTCGCCCGTTACAGCAACAACTACAGGCCACACGGAGCAGCAGGTGCCAACTCCTGACAATACGGGCCCCATCCAGAGGTGGGGCCAACGCGGGCGAGGAGGGCGGATGACCGCACGGTAGCAGCTTTTGTAGACAGGAGCAGGACCGTGGCGCTACCTGAAGCGCCTCTTCCCGGGTTGGTGGCACCGAACGTGTTCTACCGTGAGAGAAGAAGTACCCGCCCGAGTAAATCAAGTACCAGTAGTGAGGAACATGAAATTACTGCAGACCCAGAGCTATTGGACCCTTCTAACCAAGGAGTAGAACAACCGTGTACTCGTAGAAGTACCAACCAAAGTAGACCACGCACCAATAGTGATGAACATGAAATTACTTCAGAACCAGCGCTAATGGACCCCTCTAACCAAGGAGTAGAACAACAGTGCGCTAGACTTGAACAAGTGAGAGAGAAAGATCCCCGTAACACGGGAGAAAATAATAGACCCGGCGTGAACGCTGGAGAAGACCCCCGTTACCGGGGAGAAAAAGACCCCTCGCACCAGGGAGAAGATCACAAGAGTGCTAGACCCAATACGTGTATTGGAGACAAAGACAGAGAAAGACCTAGTGGGAACACTAGAGAAGACCCCCGTTACCAGGGAGAAAAAGACCCCTCGCACCAGGGAGAAGATCGCAAGAGTGCTAGACCCAGTACGTGTATTGGAGACAAAGACAGAGAAAGACCTAGTGGGAACACTAGAGCAGACCCCCGTTACCGGGGAGAAAAAGACCCCTCGCACCAGGGAGAAGATCACAAGAGTGCTAGACCCAATACGTGTATTGGAGACAAAGACAGAGAAAGACCTAGTGGGAACACTAGAGAAGACCCCCGTTACCGGGGAGAAAAAGACCCCTCGCACCAGGGAGAAGATCACAAGAGTGCTTGACCCAATACGTGTATTGGAGACAAAGGCAGAGAAAGACCTAGTGGAAACACTAGAGAAGACCCCCGTTACCGGGGAGAAAAAGACCCCTCGCACCAGGGAGAAGATCGCAAGAGTGCTAGACCCAATACGTGTATTGGAGACAAAGACCCCTACGGCAAGAGGGACTCGGATAGTGACGGGTCGGCAGCCTTGCCACCTCCTTATGGGAAGCTACTGGCTGAAATGTGGAGAGAACAAAAGGAATGCCTAGCACGTGGTACACGACTTGACGAAAAACAGGAAATCATTCACGAACTTGCGAAGGCTGGTAGAATGCTTCTAAAAACGAACGACGGAAAGTTGGGAGACGTCGCGAGGGAAATCGGCGGCACCTTGGTGTCACCTCCGCTAAACCTGAGCGACCTCGAACAACACTTCGGAACCAAAAAACACTTTCCAGACTTAGCGAATCTCATAGACATCGTAGACAACGGTGTACCAGCAAAAACGCACGACAGCCCGCCTAA